TGTATGTATCATTTTAACAACAAACTCTATTTATAAGGGTTTATGTGATTTTCCATCTCTGAATCAATATTCTCTGGTACAACCTTTGCTGCAATTAAACCTGCAGGTTTTTTAGAGCGTGTCTTTAAAGGTTTTTCCACATTTAAAAGTTTTGCATTTAAATTAAATTAAGTGTCTGTCATTCACTAAAACTGCAGTTGGGAAGTTCAGGAAACGTCTTTATCGTCCTGTAATTCGCTCTGACTTCTTAGAGAAGTTTAGATCCTTCTGTGTTTGCAGCAGGATGCTGCATTCCTTCTCTGGTGTGAATGGTGCAAGCTCTAGTGAGGTTACCTGCTGGGGTGGCGGCATCAGACCAAGTGAATTAATAAAGCTCAGCAAGCTAATAAAGAAAGGCTGGATCCATTCTGCGGACTGCTTTTACTGCTGTTATCAAGAAACACTTTTACAGTCAATTTGGATCTACTCCGACTTGAGTTTAAGGCATAATTATGAGGAGTTTTACTTCAAAGATTTGTAAGACTCACGGAAGACAGACTATCATATAAAACTCTATTCAACTTTTTCTTTTCTTTTTTTTTATAATGTGACATAATATGAAAGCTTTAGGGTTATGAATAATTTTGCAAGGTGATTCATATCAATTGAGGAACATTTGCCCCCCAAAAATAGGGGTATAAACACTCTGCAAGTAATTTTATTATTATATAACTCAGAGAAAGGAATCAGCTTCTGCTTTTAAACGAATGTCTGAACTTGATTTATCGCATTTTTGTGACACAATATTTAGATTCTGGTCCCAGTTTGATAAGCTCTATCCCTCCATCCTCTCCAGCTTATTCCGTCAGGGTCGTGGTGGGGCGACCCTATCTCTGGCAGTCTATGTTCCAGAGGCAGGGTACACCCTGGACAGGATGCCAATTTGTCTCAGGGCCACAGAGACACATGAAGACACACAGCCATGCACACACACACTCACACCTAAGGGCAATTTAGAGATACCAATTAACCTGTCAGTAAAGAAAAAAAGAAATACACTGCAAAAACAATCCAGAAATAAGTAAAAAATGGCTTAAATTAAGTATATTTAGCCTTAATTTGAGCAGGTAAATAAGATGATTTGCCAATGGAATGAGTATTTTCACTCTTAAAATAAGATAGTTAGATAATATTTACTTGAAATAAGACGATAAAATAGTTTTTTCTTATTTTAAAAGGAAATTGTCTTGTTCCATTGGCAAAGTGTCTTACTTACCTCCTCAAATCAAGGAAAAACACACTTATTTTAAGAAAAAATAACTTATTGAGATTTATATTTTTTGCAGTGTAGAAGCTGAATTAGGTGTGGAATTGGTTCAACAGTAACAGTTGCAGGGTAGACGCTGTTTCTGAGTCTGGTGGTTTTGCTCTGGATGCTCCTCAGCCGTCTGCCTGATTGGAGAGGCTGAAACAGTCTATGTGCAGGATGGGTGGAGTCCTTCTTGATCCGGAGCATCCTTTACCTGCATCTTGAAGTGCAGGGTATACTATGCCCTATAGTCATACAGCCTGCCGTAACCACCCTCCAGAGCCATCAGCAGCAGTGCATCTACTGTGCCACACAGTGATGCAGAAGCAGAGAACGCTCTCCACCACATAGTGATAAAAGTTCAGCAGGACTGAGCGCCCGAGTACAGCCCTATGCAGCTTCCTGAGGAAGCAGAGATGCTGATGGGCTTTCCTGACCAGACAGGAAGTGTTGAGGTCACTGGATAGATGCAGACCCAGTTACCTGCAGATGGAGACCAGCTGCTCCTCTGGGGTAGTCTTCTAAAATCCACTTCTCCTTAGTCTTCTTCACACTGATGCAGAGGTTATTCTCTCTGCACCAGGTGTTCAACCTACTTATCATTGCTTGTGTAGTTCTGGGTGTTTATTATTTTATTTTAACCAAAACCTTAAAAAAAATAGCAACAGTTGAAAAACGAAGGCAATAAAAACAGATTTTAGTGCGTATAGTAGTAGTTTTATTATTCCCAGTTTTTGGGATTACAGTGGTAGTCTTTAAGCAACATTCAGTCTTTAGAAGCCTTCTCTGAGAGAACACTTAAAATAAAAATATATTTTACAAAGAGAAGAAAACAAAGATCTTTGTAACAATAATGGGTTCTAGTGATTTTTTGACTCGGTGCTCAGAATGTGATTGATTGCTATGACTTTTCTTGCTTGAACAGAAACAGCTGTTTTTGTTGCCGTTTATTTTTTCATGTTGGGCTCAGGATTAGCACCACAGTAGGCAGGGATACTTACATTGATTTGTCAAACTTATGCAATTTAGGCACTTATATAAAAATGATAAGGGTCGTAATCAGTCTTCTACTCAGTAACAGTTTGTGGGCAAAATGAGTGTGGCACACGGCTAAGACTGAAAGACAAACATTCTGCTTTAAACTCAGAGTATAGGAACTAAATTCTACAATACTCCATTAAGACCTCATACTGAGATTAATCATTTTAATAGTATATGGGATACAGCGGCTGGGCTAACTTTACATATAAATGGTGACGCCACTGTTTGTGCTGTTGTTCACCTATAGCGGTTCGCAGCAGCCGGACGTTTGTAACTACAGGTTCCAAGGGACAATTTATTCACACTAATCTAAATTAGACAAACATTTAAAAGTGCTTTACAGTAAAGTACCTTTGATAAACATTCTGAAATAGGAGACCCACACGGGTTGAGCGAATTGTGATAAATAAGCTTCTGTTGGCCAAAGAAAAAATAGCTACTTTTTGCAAAAGTTCTGCAGAATTAAACATTACTGTGTTTTCTAAAGCAAAGTAGTCTATCTGTAGCAGTAATAATATATTATATCCCTGTGAGTTTGTGGAAAAGTTAATGAAACCTCAGAGCAGGGACAGGCTAACATGTAGACAGATAGGAGGTCAGATTTTAGTCGATTAAGATGAACTTTAGAGAAAACTGGATAAATGTTCTTGTCAAAAAGACAAATAATCATCCCATGAAAGAAGCAGTCCTGCATCAACAGGAGCTACTCAGCAATAGGAAGCCATTACTCTGACCGGGAGATTAAAAAGAAACATTCAGTTCTTCTTAAGCAAGCGGGGACATGCATGCATGTAGGACACGTCCTGTGCCCTTATTACACTTCAACTGTTTGGCAATAATTAATGTCATTACATTTTGAGGACAAAAAAAGAATCTATTATATAAAGATCAATCTTAGTTTAGTGGTGTAAGATCAACAACAACAATAAATGAACAAACCTACATCTGGCAGTCTTTGCTCCATAGTTGAGTTTTTATTTAACGGCCAAATAAACCAAAAACCTAATAAACACAACATAATGGAAGTTAGCTAAATGGGTTAGTTAGCAACAAGCTAACAAACCAAATTTCTTACATTTGTAAAATTATTGACTTTTCCATAAACTCACAGGGATATGAAATAGATCTACTGCAGATAGAGAGAACTGATAACTACAGAAACTCATCACTTTAAATCTTTACTTTCCCTTTATGGAGGAATTACTTCAAATATAATAGAGATACTTTAAAAAATATATTTTTTTAGGTCGAATCCAAATTTTGAATTTAATGAATAGTTATGCCTTTTTGGACATACACTCAGGCTCAGTTAACTGAGGAAAAACACATCAGGACTCCAATTTCAATAAAATTAAAACATATTTTCTTTTGACCTTTGACCTTAGCTAAGCTAGTTGTCAGCCAGTTGCATACACTGCAAAAACAATTTAAATATAAGTCAACATTTCTTAAAATAAGTCTATTTACCCTTAATTTGCGTAGACAAACGGGATGATTTGCTAATGGAATGAGTTTTTAACTTTTAAAATAAGGTGATTAGATCATATGCACTTGAAATATAATTTTAAATGTAACTTTTCTTGTTCCATTGGCAAAGTATCCCACTTACCTTCTCAATTTAAGAACAAATGCACTTAATTTAAGAAAAAAAAAAGACTCATTTAGATTTTTGCAGTGTAGGGGCTATGATCTATATATTGAAACCAAAATATTGGTAATATTTATCAAAAAAATCTACATGGAGGTGTTAAAATAATTTGTTTTGTGCCGTTTGTTCAAAACCAATAATGTAGCCAAAGTTTTTTTTACTTCCTTTAACCACCCCCAGTTAATCAAACCCAATGTTTTACCTTCTTATCTTTAATGTAGCGCACTAAACATTTTGGCTTTGTTTGTTTTTTTTCAGGTTTGACATTGAAACTTTTTAAGGACAAAATTAAGAAATGCTGGCAGGCAAATAGTTTTATTCTAACACTAAGCCCAGCCTTTTAGTGCTGTTTTTAGTGTTTATGCTACGCTAAGCTCACTAGCTGCCATGACAATTTCATCATTCGTTTCAGAGATGGCCTAAAGTTGCAAAAAAAAAGGAAATAATTTTAGGCTTCCAATTATAATTTTGTTTTGTTTTAAATAATTCTATTCAATTATAAAACTGCACTACAAAGAAGAATGTTTTTAGGTTTATGTTTTGCGTTAATATCTACTCCCCCTGCTGGCCAGGAGGTTTTAAGCACATCTTTGAAGCCTCCCAGGATCGATTGTTACCCTTCCAATGATTCACTTTGTTTATTATTTTTGTATTCTAATTCATTTAAAAAAGTTATTTTTCATTTATGTTCATAACACTTGCTTAATCTTGAGTTATAGAGGTAGAAATATAAAACAACTGTGAATGTATGGAGTGAAAAAAATCATCTTTTAACAATGACAGTTCAATTCATTGATTTTACAGAGTTCTATTGCACCTTTTTTTTCTTTTTTAACATCTGGGCAAATAAAACCTGGAAAAAACCCAGATTGCCACTTCTCTTCTGTTTTTTTTGGGTGTTCTTTAAGTACTATACTCATTTTGCTGGTTTAATACAATCCTTTAAAAAACACAACGATTAAAATGAAACAACGGCGAAAAATAAAACACAAGTCTACCCGATGACTCACTCAACATGTTAAAGGTTAAAAGCCTTTTATGAACATTATTTTGTCAAAGGTCTACAAAACAGCAGCTTTTAAAGCAGAGTAATTTTAACCTGGCAGCTTTACATAAATAAAAAAATATTAATATTAAATAATCGGACAGAAGCAACAGTGGAGAGCAGGAGTTTAACTTAAGACACCAGAATAAAAGGAGGGATTCAAATCTTGGCACAAGGGAAAATGGGGGGTTGTCCTCCTTTGTTCAGTCTCTTTTCAAGGTGCTGCTAGTAGGGGCCTTTAGTGTGGCCAAAGATCCCAACGGGAAAGTGTTTGACGTGTGAGGACCATTGAGCCGCTAACTGGAAGAACTTGACATCGTTCCACTCAACGCCATCAATCAGCACTGCAGAGAAGACAGAGAACAGAACATTAAATACTTAATCAAACTAGAACTAATCCCAAGCTATAAATAAAATTCAAAATGTTTTAATTGTTACTTTCATGCCACGTTGCCGGTTTATAAAATTAAAGGAACATGGTGCACACTTGTGCAGCACCTTGTGTGTGTGGTGCCGATTAAATGATATAGAAAATCTTATAAAAATCACAAAACACCTTTTTAAATGTTTCAGTTCACAACAAAAAAACACAAATAAAAAACGAGAATTAAACAACCTAAAACAGTCTTGCTTTTTTAAAAGTTACCTCTCAGCATGGTTTGCTGTTGTTTGGCGGTGCAGATTAGGCGACTGATGCCCTCAATCAGTTGACTCTTTGACTCCACCTCCTTGTCTTTACTCTTTTTCGGCAGAAACATGACTGTCAGAACGTGACGACAGAAATCCACATTGTTAGTAACTGATCGATTCAGAATCAGTCTGCGTTCTGCACGATAAATCACTGCATTTTAAGCATGATTATTAAATAAAGACAAAACAAACCCTTCTTATTTTTCTCCTGGGTTACTAAGGTCATAGACATAGTGGGCTGGGGGCTTGGTTCTGCACCCCCCAGTGGAAGTCTGCTGACCTGCAGCGAGCGAAAATTGCACTTCAGAGTGTTTTTAGAGGAGGGGTCCCGCTTCTCCACGTCTTTCTTCCTCTCTGTTGGAGCCACCCAGTAGTCTACCTGAAGGCCCATCAGCTCTGCCCCACTGCTGGAGCTGCTAAAAACAGGGAAAACACAGGAACTCACATGTAAAACTGCTTTTTACATAAAAAAAAACTTTATCTATGTGTAGACATCACATTTTCTATTGCTTGCTCACATTAGGATTTATGCATGTAAAACCAAATGTGAGGTGCTGAATGTTTTCTATATCTGTTAACTGTTTTATTTTTTTAAGGTGTGTTTAAAGATACAGAGCTAAAAACCTCAAAAGCTAGAATTATTATTTGTTGTCCAACTGTTGATTACTCTAGAAACAAAAAAAGTTTCTTCTTGTATCAAGAGGATTTTTCCATAATATGAAAATGGGAAAAAAGGTACATAATTATATTTTAATAATTTATAGCACCAGCTATATTAAGTTATGACTAAATAAACAAAAATATATATTAAGACAAAAGAAATTCCCTTTCATCATATCCTCACTTTCCAAGCGGAGCAGAGAAGTTACAGCTGCTTCGCCATGAAGCACGAATAAGAGGGGCGCTACTTAGGTTATAACTCAAGGGTTTATTGAGAGTCTTTATTTTCGAATAGAGCTTTATAAAGTGTATTCTTCATCACTGTCACCCTGAAACAGTGAACATAACTCTGGACCCCACTCTGGTTTGAGTCATATTTCTGCTTTGGAAGCAGCCGGTTTCCATGCAAAGTCAATGGTTGATATGCATCAAAACGCATCCAAAGGTCCTGCAGCTTGTCTAGAGCAGCAGGAGCAGCGCGTCTTGATGCATCTGAGCAGCTAAAGCAGCGCCTCATGAGCTTCTGAGCATCTGAGGCGCATGCTGGCGTTGGAAACATTGAACTTTAGCTGCTGGATGCGCCACATCAACCAATGAGAGAAGCTGATCTGGGAGCTGGCAGGGAGACAGACGCAGCACTGCTGATGCAGAGCGCTATGATCACTCCTCTGAAACAGTTTATTAACGCCTAAATTAACTGAAAATGTAAAAACCTGGCAGCAATATATGTTAACTTTTTTTATTCAACCCCCAAGAGATGACTGGCTGAGGCAGCTGCTGCTGGGGATTCCCAGTGACAGCGCACCGTCTGTATGTGCGGGTCTGATTGGCTCCCACAGCAAAATTATATTTAAAGGCAGGATCATAAGCTTGATAAACTGACTGTAAAGACGACGTTTTGAGGTGAACTTTGTCAATTAAAGACATTTTAAAACTACTTTTTACCCGCTTAGCAAATATAGCAAAGCTGCTCTCTGGCATTGAACACAGGAGCAGCAGAAGCATCAGACGCATCTGGACTCACTTTACTGGACGCGCTTCAGGCCTCTTATCTTAATGTGTACAAGCATCAAAAATGAAGCAGCAGGCATTTTTTTGTCACTGAAATCGCATTAGGTTTGAACATAGCACAAGGCTCTGTTTAAAAAGAACAACAGTGCCCCCTAGGGGATGGTGGCGACATTACAATTCTTCTAAACATGTAATCAATCAGATGGAAATAATTTTAGTCTAATAAACTGTGAATTAACAATTAATCATAAGCCAAGCATTTGTTTACAGTCCTAGTTAGTGCAAAGGAAAAAGGAAAATGGAGTCACACAGGTGAACAAATAAAAGCATAACTATAGAAAAACATAGAGAAACAGAGATTTCTCTGCAAACGGTTCACCTAAGGGCACAGAAGCTGGTGTTAATGGAGGGTGAAGACGGTGGGGTTGGCGAAGCCTCTTTGAAAGCAGGCGATATTTGAGGAGGGGTGGAGGAGAGCAGAGACGAGCTCAGAGGTGCTGCATCATCAGAATCTCCTAAAAGGAAAAAAATAAATGCTGTTAAAATGATGCAAAGTTGTTTGAGCCATTTATCCAATTTATAAATTTGTCCCTCTTGTACTTTCTCTGGCATCTAATGAAAACTACTTTAAACTGAGAATGTTTTAGGAACCTTTATATACCTCAATAATAGTCATTTCTAAAAAGGCCTGTTCATAAATATATTGGAGAGAAATAGTTTGACTAGAGCAAAGCTTAACACTCTACTGCCTCCAAAGCCTCTGATGGGTTTTTGAGTTATGCAGCTTTAAATGAAGTCTAACAAGTACTTGCCTGATGCTGCAGACGTTTGTTCCACAATTCCAACTTTCACCATCTAAAGAAATTAACAGAGGAACAACAGGAAAAAGTATTCAACCAACCAATACCGCCAAGTGATAGTAATAAATTGAACCAATATATATCCAGTTAGACAAACACTAACAAAAAAACAAAAACACTGGAAAAATCTAAATCTAAGTCAGTCAAATCGTCTAGAAGTAAAGGCATTTTCTCTTGATTAGAGCATAAAAGTAGGACAATTTGCCAAAATGATTTACATTTAAAATAATGAAAATATCTCCAATGTCTTATTTCCATTATATCTAATCATTTTATTTTAAAAATACTCTTTCCATTGGCAGATTAAGTAAGGGCAAATTAACTCATTTTAAGACATTTCTACTTATTCTGAGATCACTTTTTGCAGTGCATTATGAGGTTTTTACTTACCCCGATGAATGGGATGAAATTCTGACAGGAATCTTCATTAGGGCTAAAGGAAAGAGCCCAAAAAGACTATGAATGATTAGTATGACAAATACACATGAAAGAAATTATGAAATAAAAGTCCAAACTGCAGCCAAAACCTGGCTGTGGAAATTTAACTACTACAAAATTCCAATTTCAAACAATTGCATCCACATCCTGTCAGCATTAACATCTAGTGTTACGTGACATGTGAATGCTGACTTTTTAAGATACTGGTATCAATTGATTGATATCTTAAACTAATGTAACCAACATCGGGTTGGTTATTTAAAATGCACATGCTGCCATAACTCTTATTTTACTACTGATTTTTGTGGAAAAACTATTTAAGCAGGAAAGCAGAGAGCCAAAACATGCAAGCCTAAAGGCAATTTGTGGCCAGAAAAAAAAAGCAATTGGCTGATACAGAATATAACACTAAACCCAGTCAGTTTGGCATTCAGGAGGCAGCAAGTCTATAATGCAAGCATAACAAATAAAAGGAAGAGCACCAACCTACATCCAAAACCTCTCTAGGTCCATGCACTAGCTGTAGTGCATAACCCCTCTACACTATCAGCTATTTTCCCAACAACATCCAGAAAAATAGCAAAGTGAAGCGCTGCTAAACTGGAGCTTTGTGTTTTCTAAATATGAAGTGGTTTTTATACGGAGGGCCAGAAGGGACAAAAATAAATAAATACATAGATCATGAAATAAATAGCAACATTTAGTTAGGTATCAAAATAATAAATGTATCATTCATAAGGCATCATTACGTAATCAATTCTACCATTAAACTATAAAATGTGCTACTTAGTGATTAAATGCCCAAAATTATAATTGAATACATTTCTTTTATATATTCTAAAAGTACATATCATAATATCAGTCTTTATATCATGGCTTCTGTGCAGCAATGATCCAAACTCTCATTTGAACCCTTCAGTTGCTGAACTTTAGTGGGATCTCTAATCATGGCAGCTTCCTAAAAGCACGGCCTCGTTAAGCTCTCTGCTCAGCAGGTTAGAGATACTTTAGACCAGCTGAGGATATAAAAGATGGAGTCGCTCACCCACCCAAAAAACCATGATTTCTTAACAGTTGTCGGATTTATTTGGACATTTTTAAGTGGACAAAAATGATGAGAGTGATTTTGCAAACTTTTTTACTTATTGTGCGAAGCTGCCAATCAGAGGTCAGGGTCTGCTTTAATCCCGCCCACTACGTTTGATAGGTCAAGTGAACGTTTTGAATAACTGAATGGTCACACTGACGCACAAGAGCCATAAAATTAATACATTCATAAAGAGAGTAAAATAATAGAGTAAAATAATCATATATGTCAGTAATTTTTTACATTATTAACTATTTAGTTTTTCAAATATTTGAGACATTCAATCATCAGTTATGTATAAATATTAATAATTTAAATATTTTATGATGCATTAAATAAATAAATGCTACATTTAATGATTTATTTGGTATAAGTATTTATTTATGTGACACTCATTTATTTGATGATCTATTTATTTTTTTTCCCCTTATGGTCCTTCAGGTTGTTAATGCTTAAGGTTGTTGCTCTTGCCTCGAGGAAACCTGCCATCGCCCCCCCAGGGAAGAAATAGAGAGACTACAGAGGCAGGCAGGGGGAGAGAAAGAGAAAACGGTCTAAAGATTGTAAAAGTGAAGTTTTCCAACACAATTCTGCAGAAATCATCTTCAGAGCAGCAGAGGAACAATAGCCAGATGTCTGCCTGAGTCTTGATTAGATCATGATGAATTAAAATGATTTTCATATATTCAATATTAATGGTCTAAAAGTTACTAATGCAGGCGGATTATTGTCCTTCATGTTTAGATGCTTTGATCTTTGACGTTGGCAAATATATGGGCATATTTCGTGAAGTCCAACTCTTCACACAACAATATCCTAACTTATATTTAAATAAAGAGCCTCTCTGAGTTAGCTGATGCCTGTGTGTTGATATAAACAACTCATTTCCTTCCTAACATACCTTTGATAATCATCTTTGATGGAAACGATCCTCAGCTCTGGTGCAAAAGCTTTTATTTGGCCTCATAAATTTATCCTAGAAATTCCCTGGTGGAATCGGACATTCAACTGCTTGATCGACCCTAAAGAGCCCTCTGACAGCCACACACTTCGATGTGGAAGCTGTTGCAGAGTGAAGAAGACTTAAACTTACCCTGTTATGAGAAGTTTAAAAATGAAGTCAAAGAGGAGAAATGCAAGAATCTACTTAAAGTTAAACATTGATGCATTTAGTACAATATGTTTCTGGTTGATTCAGACTGAGAGAGAGAGAGAGAGAGAGCAAGACTTTCTGCAGGTAACAGAAAGGCTGATGTTCTTACAACAGATTAATCCTTCTAAGCCTTCAGTCTCCATATTTTCTAAAAGCATGTTGGATCTGGCCATTCTGAAAGGTTTTTGGACACCTCACACACAGTAAAGGTAAACATCTACATTCTTATGGAGAATGCTGATTTTTTTATGCTAGCTGCGCTAACTGCTAACGTTAGCTCCTCACACAGCAACATGATTTCACCTCTGTACCCTAACAGAATGACAGCTCAAACATTAAATTGTTTATGTATATTTACTTATATATCAATTCTAAAACAGAAGTAAAAATTTATAAAACTTAAATATAAAAAAAAAAACACCTTCAGAAACTTTTTAAAGCGGTGGATTGATGGATTATTCATTTTTTAGAGAAACATTTCAGAGGAATTTCCCTCTTTTGTAGGTTATTTGAAAAGTATTCCAACATTGTATTTTAGTCATCATAATGATATCTAACCAAGAAAGATGTTGATGTTTGCTAAACATGTAGCTTAAAGATGTGAATCTTGAAAAAAAATGTCGGACTCCGTAATTTTCTCTGGTCCCCTCCCTGATCTGACCAGTGATGACATGTTTAGCCGCATGTCGTCATTCAATCGCTGGTTGTCTAGGTGGTGCCCTGAAAACAACGTGGGCTACATTAATAATTGGCAATCCTTTTGGGGAAAGCCTGGTCTGATTCGGAGAGACGGCATCCATCCCACTTTGGATGGTGCAGCTCTTCTTTCTAGGAATCTGGCCACATTTATTAGTCCTCCAAAACCCTGACCACCCAGGGTGCAGACCAGGAAGCAGAGTTGTAGTTTAACACACATCTCTGCAGCTTCTCTACTGTTACCCACTCTTTACTCCATCCAGACAGTGTCTTGCCCACGACCAAAATCTAATAAATTAGCAAAGATTCCCAAAGGAGTAAATCATGATAATCTAATTAAAATCAAAATAACTCCAATTGGGGAAAAAGTTAAAACAATTAAATGCGGTCTGTTTAACATAAGATCGCTTTCCTCTAAAAGTCTACTAGTTAATGACTTGATTTGTGATAATCACATTGACTTGTTTTGCCTTACAGAAACCTGGCTGCAGCAAGAGGATTATGTGAGCATAAATGAGGCAACTCCTTCAAGCTATTTAAATTTTCACATCCCCAGAAGTTCTGGGCGAGGAGGAGGAGTAGCAACAATCTTCGAGTCTGACTTACTGATTACTCCCAAAACAATTAATTCCTACAACTCTTTTGAACATTTAACCCTTAATTTCCCTGATCCAAATTTCAAGGCAAGAAAACCTCTTCTTTTTGTAACTTTGTATCGTCCACCAGGTCCTTACTCTGAATTTTTAGATGAGTTTTCAGAGTTCCTTTCTGATTTGGTATTAAATACTGACAGGGTCATCATAGTGGGAGATTTTAACATCCATGCTGACATTGAAGGCGATAGCTTAAGAGCAGCCTTTAATGCTATCTTAGACACTATTGGCTTTGTTCAAAATGTGAATAGTCCCACGCATTCTCATCTTCATACTTTGGATCTTGTGCTGACATACGGCATAGAATGTGAAGAAATAACAGTATTTCCTCACAACCCTGTCCTCTCTGACCACTTTCTAATAACCTTCAGGATTACTTTAACAGAGTTCTCCTCCCCCAAAAGAAGGTTCAATTTTAGTAGATCTTTATCAGATAGTGCAGTTATAAATTTTAAAGAATCTGCTTCACTTTCTCTCTGCTCTGTGTCACTGAGCAGTGCTGCAGAGTGCAAAAGCTTAGCTTATTCCCCTTCACAGGTTGATGATTTTGTTGAGGGGGTTGCTAGTTCTCTGCGTATTGCCTTAGACAACGCAGCTCCTTTGAAAATGAAAACCGTTAAAAATAGAAAGCTTGCTCCTTGGTTTAATGCAGAGCTGCGTACTTTGAAGCAAAATGCTAGGAAACTGGAGAGAAAATATCGCTCCACAGGCCTGCGAGAGTCCTTCCTAGTCTGGAAAAATGGTTTACTGCTGTATAAGAGGACCCTTTGTAAAGCAAGAGCAGCATACTTCTCCTCATTAATAGAGGAGAATAAGAATAATCCTAGATTTCTTTTTAATACAGTTGCCAAACTCACCCAGAGCCATAGCTCTGTTGAACCGTCCATTCCACCTGCTCTTAGCAGCAATGATTTTATGGGATTCTTTATAAATAAGATTGATCTTATTAAAAATAAGATCATAAGCACTCCTCTATCCGCGATTGTACCTGAGGTAGTCATGGAATCTGAACCGGGTTTAGACTGCTTTGATCCAGTTGAACTCTCTGAATTAGCAAAATTATTGTCTTCATCTAAGCCTTCAAGTTGTATGTTAAATCCAGTTCCAACCAGGTTATTTAAGGAGGTATTCCCTTTGATCTCCTCCTCCATTTTAGATGTGATTAATCTATCTCTGTTACAGGGATATGTACCTAAAGCTTTTAAGATTGCTGTAATTAAACCTCTGCTTAAGAAACCGTCTCTTGACCCAGATGACTTGGTCAATTATAGACCTATATCCAATCTTCCTTTCTTATCCAAAATTCTTGAGAAAGTAGTTGCCAAACAAGTTTGCGATCACTTCCACCATAATGAACTTTTTGAAGAGTTTCAGTCTGGCTTTAGAGCTCATCATAGCACTGAAAC